ATGGAAGGACAGGGGGAAAGGATAGAGACGGTAGATGGACGGAAGGACAGGGGGAAAGGATAGAGACGGTAGATGGACGGAAGGACAGGGGGAAAGGATAGAGACGGTAGATGGACGGAAGGACAGGGGGAAAGGATAGAGACGGAAGATGGACGGAAGGACAGGGGGTAAGGATAGAGACGGACAGGTATAATTTACACTACACCTGTATATATATATTCCTTAATTAATGTCAAGGATGCAAACTCCATTTTGATTTGAATGAACCAGTAGAAGATTTTCTTTCTTTCTTTCTTTCTTTCTTCTCAATGATGGAAAATGATAGCGATTATTTTTTTTGAGAGAGAGAAATAAAAATAAGTAAAAGAAAATATTGTGGAATAGTTGAATGTTTTACGTTTGTGTCGTCACGTAAATGATAAAAAAATAAAAATCCCGAAATATTCCAGTTATTTTCCGTAACTTAATTTCCTTATCATTTTCAATCACTTCAGATGAAATAACTGCTTCAAGCCTCACCTCGTTATATTTTACTGTATATCCTGCTACTACTACTAACACTACTACTACTACTACTACTACTACTATTACTAATGATAATAATAATAATAATGATAATAATAATAATGATAATTAGGATCTATAATGTAAACAGGAAAGCAATGTCAACAATTAATAAACGGGTAAACAGGTAGACGAAAGGTAGACATCAGGTAGACAACAGGTAGACGAAAGGTAGACAACAGGTAGACAACAGGTAGACGAAAGGTAGACGAAAGGTAGACAACAGGTAGACAACAGGTAGACGAAAGGTAGACAACAGGTAGACAACAGGTAGACGAAAGGTAGACAACAGGTAGACAACAGGTAGACGAAAGGTAGACGAAAGGTAGACAACAGGTAGACGAAAGGTAGACGAAAGGTAGACAACAGGTAGACAACAGGTAGACAACAGGTAGACGACAGGTAGACGAAAGGTAGACAACAGAACAGACAACAGGTAGACAACAGGTAGACACTGTCACCGTTAAATACGACACATGTACTATTGTCGCAGCTTCCAGGCAACTGATTACATAATCCTGGGCTCCGAAAACAGTTTATTGTAGGTAAACAGCGCATAGTTAGCTAAGGCCACAGTGTATAGTGTGTGTGTGTGTGTGTGTGTGTTGTTATAGCAGTGTTATCAAAGCCAAACCTCAATGCTACTCCACACACCTCTGTCACACCTCTTCACACCTCTGCCACACCTCCGTCACACGTCTGGTCACACCTCTGTAGTACTTTGAAACACACCTGTCACACTCTATAACACCTTTGTCTCATTCTCCGTCACACCTCCGTCACACCGTCACATCTCTGTCACACTTCATAACACCTCCTGTCTCACCTCCGTCACACCTGTCACATCTCTGTCAAGACTCTAACATCTCCGTCACACCTCTGTTCACTCTGTCACACCACTCTGTATAATTAACGTCGCACTTTCATATTAATTACCCGTCACACCAGCGTTACACCTCTGTACTAATTAATCGTCACAACTGTGCAATACACCTGGCTAGAGGGAAGGAGCAGGGGGTGAGGGGGGGTGGCAGCCAGGCAAAGGGGGGGGGGAGGGAGGGAGGAGGGGAGGAGGGGCAGGGGGGGGGAGGCTGGTTCACTGGGGATAAGGCTCAGTCATCAAGCCCGGGAGTCAACACCTGAGAATTACTCTGTCCTGGAAGTAATGGTAACTACCTGTGCTTACCGGCCTGGAGAGAGAGAGAGAGAGAGAGAGAGAGAGAGAGAGAAGCTACCTACACACTAGAACACCTAAATACGTCAGTGGACAGAACAGATAAGCTAAACGGAAGGATGTTTTCACTTCACGGGTTATAAATCACATCCCGTTCTGGTGATGATCTGACCAAACTCAACAAAATTAACCCATTTCTGGCCTATTTGCAGTGTTTACCTACCACTTTTCACTATCTCTGTAATTTGATGATATTTACCCTATTTGAAGATTTAAAGTAACCACTCAAAACATCTGTTATCCTTCCGTTAAATAACCTTAAGTTTAGAATGTGATTTGAAGTAAATTTCATGTGAGTCACTTCAAGCCTTCATATGAATATCTAACTCAATTTTGTAGGTCTACGGAAGCCACTTAACGTAAAATAACTTTGATCAGTAATCAAGTGAACCTCGTCAACAAGAGCGAACAGAGGCCTTCAAACTTCTTCAAGAAAGCCAACATTTAAACAACCCTGTAGAATTATTCTCACTGTGTGTGTGTGTGTGTCCATAAGCTGTTTATCATAGATACCTGTACTTGCATGGAAGCACAACCAATACTAAACACACTTGGTAAATGTTTCAGATCTTAGTAAACAAAAACAAAAAAAAGTCCCCGAGATAAAATTATAGTTTACCCTGAAGGTGAAGCTATAACAGAAAATAGCATGATAGAAAATGCGTTGTTATAAGCAAAAATTAATATAAACATTCAATTGGTTAGCACTGAATTTTGACTTTATTTGTGATAAGGCCTTGACGCAAGCCTATTCTCAGTAGTGGAGCGCAAATGAAGACGTGATTTTACTTACATAAGAGTATTTTTAGAGAGATAACTTGCAGAAATGGTAAAAGGAGGGTGTGGCTGTGTTGGGGGTGTTAAGGCTGTGTTGGGGGTGTTGAGGTGGTCTGTGTTGTGGGGGGTGTTGCTGTGTGGCCTGGTTGTGGGGCGTTGTGTGGTCTGTTGTAAGGTGTGGCTGGTGGCCTGTTGTGGGGTGTTGGTGCGGCCTGTTGTGGGGTGTTAAGGTGGTCGTTAGGGCTGTTGAGGGTGGTTGGTTGTGGGGTTTTGAGGTGTGGCTGTGTTGTGGGTGTTGAGGTGTGGCTGTGCTGGGGGTTTTGAGGTGTGGCTGTGTTGTGGGGGTGTTGAGGTGTGGCTGGTGTTGTGGGGTGTTGAGGTGTGGCCTGTGTTGTGGGGTGTTGAGGTGTGGCTGCCAGGGGTTTGAGGTGGCTGTGTTGTGGGTTTGAGGTGTGGCTGTGTTGTGGGGTTTTGAGGTGTACTGTGTTGTGGGTTTTGAGGTGGTTGTGTTGTGGGGTTTGAGGTGTGGCTGTGTTGTGGGTTTTGAGGTGGCTGTGTTGTGGGGTTTTGAGGGTGGTGGTTGTGTTGTGGAGTTGAGGTGTGGCTGTGTTGTGGGGTGTTGAGGTGTGGCTGTGTTGTGGGGTTTTGAGGTGTGGTCTGGCTTGGGGTTTTGAGGTGGCTGTGTTGTGGGTTTTGAGGTGGTCTGTTGTGTGGTTTTGAGGTGTGGCTGTGTTGTGGGGTGTTGAGGTGTGGCTGTGTTGTGGGGTGTTGAGGTGGCTGTGTTGTGGGGTGTTGAGGTGGCTGTATTGTGGGATGAGGTGTGGCTGTGTTGTGGGTGTTGATGTGTGGCTGTGTTGTGGGGTGTTAAGGTGTGGCTGTGTTGTGGGGTGTTAAGGTGGCTGTGTTGGGGTGTTGAGGTGGCTGTGTTGTGGGTGTTGATGTGTGGCTGTGTTAGGTGTTAAGGTGTGGCTGTGTTGTGGGGTGTTAAGGTGTACGTGCTTGTGGGTGTTAAGGTGTCGTTGTGGGGTGTTAAGGTGTGGCTGTGTTGTGGGGTGTTAAGGTGTGGCTGTGTTGTGGGGTGTTAAGGTGTGGCTGTGTTGGGTGTTAAGGTGTGGCTGTGTTGTGGGTGTTGAGGTGTGGCTGTATTGTGGGGTGTTGAGGTGTGGGCTGTTGTGGGGTGTTGATGTGTGGCTGTGTTGTGGGGTGTTAAGGTGGCTGTGTTAAGGTGTGGCTGTGTTGTAAGGTGTTAAGGTGTGGCTGTTGTTACGCCGTCTCTAATTTAATTTAATATCCAGGTTCTAGGCGCAACCAAAACAAAAGTGAAGTAAATTAAAAGAATAAAAATAAATAAAGTAAACCTTAAGAGTTTAATTGATTAAATATTAACACAATAAAGAGCCTTGTAGGCTGTCACAACAAATTGACTCACCATCGAAACTTTTAAGACACGTGATACAAAACATCGAAACATCAAAAGAATAAAATAAAGCACTGGATTACGTTAACACTGCATAAACATATAAAACTAACACTGAAATTAACTAACGTGAACAACACTGAATTACTTGAATAAACTGCAAATACTGATGGACACAAACAGAGACATAAATAGGTACTCATAGATATATAACATTGGTGGCGACAGGAACAACACAAATAAATTAAGTTTAAGTAACAAGTGACACTCAAAGGATGTGTACTGTATGACAAGAGACTGAACTAACTCTGCTGTTGTGTCCTATATAAGGTTTGGCTCCGCCACGCGACCCGCCGGTGGGTCGTTTAACGATGCAGATGGTCGTTAGAGAACAAAGAATGCTGGTTACAATACAAAATAAAGAAGTAAGATGGGCTTGAACAAATAATGACAGTTAAAACCTTAACAGCACAGGGTAGGTGACTAGAATATATAATAGTAAATTTAACACATCATTACAGGAATAATATGGAACATGGGAGCATGTTATATATAAAAAAAAGAAAAAATACGACACGGTCGTAACACTGTGTTGTGGGGTGTTGAGGTGTGGCTGTGTTGTGGGGTGTTGAGGTGTGGCTGTGTGTTGTGGGGTGTTGAGGTGGTGGCTGTGCTAGGGGGGGTGTTGAGGTGTGGCTGTGTTGTGGGGTGTTGAGGTGTGGTTGTGTTGTGGGGTTTGAGGTGTGGTTGTGTTGTGGGGTTTTGAGGTGTGGTTGTGTTGTGGGGTGTTGAGGTGTGGCTGTGTTGTGGGGTGTTGAGGTGTGGCTGTGTTGGGGGTGTTGAGGTGGGTGTGGCTGTGTTGGGGGGGTGTTGAGGTGTGGCTGTGTTGTGGGGTGTTGAGGTGTGGCTGTGTTGTGGGGTGTTGAGGTGTGGCTGTGTTGTGGGTGTTGAGGTGGCTGTGTTGTGGGGTGTTGAGGTGTGGCTGTGTTGTGGGGTGTTGAGGTGTGGCTGTGTTGTGGGGTTTTGAGGTGTGGCTGTGTTGTGGGGTTTGAGGTGGCTGTGTTGTGGGTGTTGAGGTGTGTGGCTGATGTTGTGGGGTGTTGAGGTGTGGCTGTGTTGTGGGGTGTTGAGGTGTGGCTGTGTTGTGGGGTGTTGAGGTGTGGCTGTGTTGTGGGGTTTGGTGTGGCTGTGTTGTGGGGTGTTGAGGTGTGGCTGTGTTGTGGGGTGTTGAGGTGTGGCTGTGTTGTGGGGTGTTGGGGTGTGGCTGTGTTGTGGGGTGTTGAGGTGTGGCTGTGTTGTGGGGTGTTGAGGTGTGGCTGTGTTGTGGGGTGTTGAGGTGTGGCTGTGTTGTGGGGTGTTGAGGTGTGGCTGTGTTGTGGGGTGTTGAGGTGTGGCTGTGTTGTGGGGTGTTGAGGGTGTGGCTGTGTTGTGGGGTGTTGAGGTGTGGCTGTGTTGTGGGGTGTTGAGGTGTGTTGTGTTGTGGGGTGTTGAGGTGTGGCTGTGTTGTGGGGTGTTGAGGTGTGGCTGTGTGTGGGGTGTTGAGGTGTGGCTGTGTTGTGGGGTGTTGAGTGTGGCTGTGTTGGTGGGTGTTGGTGTGGCTGTGTTGTAGGGTGTTGAGGTGTGGCTGTGTTGTGGGGTGTTAGGTGTGGCTGTGTTGTGGGGTGTTGAGGTGTGGCTGTGTTGTGGGTGGGTGTGGCTGTGTTGTGGGGTGTTGAGGTGTGGCTGTGTTGTGGGGTGTTGAGGTGTGGTGTGTTGTGGGGTGTTGAGGTGTGGCTGTGTTGTGGGGTGTTGAGGTGTGGCTGTGTTGTGGGGTGAGGTGTGGCTATTTGTTATCGCTGTTAATGTGCCAATGTCAGGTTTAGGCGTGTAAAGTAAGTGACACTCCCAAAGGATATTGACGGTGTGACAGAGCTAGACGGCTCAAGTCAGTTGGTGGTGTCCCTATATTAAGGTCGGCTCCCGCACGACCATAAGTTGGGTGTTTAAGATGCAGATGTGTTAGAGAACAAAGACTGCTGGTTAAAAAAAATAAAGTAAGGTGGACTTGAAATGACAGTTGTGGAGGTGTAGAATATAACAGTTTAACACATATTAGGAATAATATGATAGGGGCGTTAATATAGAAATAACACGGTGTAACTGGCTGTGTTGTGGGGTGTTGAGGTGTGGCTGTGTTGTGGGGTGTTGAGGTGTGGCTGTGTTGTGGGGTGTTAAGGTGTGGCTGTGTTGTGGGGTGTTAGGTGTGGCTGTGTTGTAGGGGTGTTAGGTGTGGCTGTTGTGGGGTGTTAGGTGTGGCTGTGTTGTGGGGTGTTAGGTGTGGCTGTGTTGTGGGGTGTTAAGGTGTGGCATGTTGTGGGTGTTGAGGTGTGGCTGTGTTGAGGGGTGTTAAGGTGTGGCTGTGTTGGGTGTTAAGGTGTGTAAAAAAAGAAAGATTAATTATTTCTTCTTTAGTTTACATTAAATACTTATAATCATTCGCTTTTCTCTCTCTCTCATATTACTCACTCACTCACTCACTGTCTATCTCACCCACAGATCCCGCGATAGCCATTGACACGCCTCTATGGAGACAACCAGAGGATGTCATTGGCTCCTCGATGGTGACGGAACCTCCTCCAAGGCTTGAACGACCCAGTATGACTTCCACCACCAACACCGACACCCAGACGACGGCGGCGACAACGGTGACGACGACGCCCTACATCGACGTAAATCGGGCGGTGGTGCTTGGATGGTGTGAAGGAGGACGAGGAAGACGATGAACCTGATGAACGTGCCCTCTGTTGGGTACTGGTGGTGGGAGTGGTGGTGGTACTGGTAGTGGTGGTATTGGTGGTGGTAATCGTGGGTTAGGATGACTTTACCCTAAATATGCCTAGAAGGTGAGTATACGTATGGGTATGGCGGTAGTAGTGATGATAGTGGTAATGGCGATGATGGTACTAGTGGTGATGGTGGTAGTGGTGGTAGTTGTATTGTGGTAATAGTGGTCATGGTGGTGATTTGATTTTATAGAAGGTGAGAACTTCCTCCCTTCCTCCTTCCTCCCTCCCTCCCCAACACACAGACAAACGCGCCTCACAAAACACCTGCAGACGAGGTCAGACGTGATGCTGTGTCATGGCCTTAGTGGAGAGAGAGAGAGAGAGAGAGAGATCTTAGCGTTACTCTGTCTAGATCGAAATTGCTGATTTGTCTCAGTAAAGTGGGACACACACACACACACACACACACACACACACACGTTCCAAAACCACCATCTGGGGTTGGATTCCTTCGATAGTGTCTGAAGCCTGTACACGAGTCAGCTGGTGGCCAGTGGTAGAGACACACACCAGGTTTAGCAAAGTTAAGGTTGTCTTACACAGGTTACAAGGCTACTACAGGTAAAGGTTACAGGCTACTACAGGTAAAGGTTACAAGGCTACTACAGGTAAAAGTTATAAAGGCTACTACAGGTAAAGGTTACAAGGCTACTAGTAAAGGTTACAAGGCTACTACAGGTAAAGGTTACAAGGCTACTACAGGTAAAGGTTACAAAGGCTACTACAGGTAAAGGTTACAAGGCTACTACAGTAAAAGGTTACAAGGCTACTACAGTAAATTTAACTACAGGTAAAGGTTACAAGGCTACTACAGGTACAGGTTACAAGGCTACTACAGGTACACACAAACTTACAAGAGGTTACAAGGCGGATGGTGTGTCTGTTGGCTGATGTTAGCAGAACACACCTGAGGGAGATATTAAGGGCAGGTGTGGGTTATTGTTATGGGTGTGCTGAGGTTAATTGTCTTGTTACCTGTAGTAATGACACACAGGTATAATTTCACCATAGTTATTATTATTATTATTATTTATTATTATTATTATTTATTTATTTTCTCATGTTTCAGTATTTATATGACAAAAATTATACTGATATACATGTTATTTAAGAGGATAAACAATTCCTGATACAAAGTAGTAAAAGTAATACCTTTGTAGAAGTGTTTTATAATTTTATTACCAATATTCTGTACTGAGTTAATCCTTATCTCGAGACATTAATTACTATGTTAATTATACCGTAATTAATGACCTTCACTTTTAATTACTTTACGTCCTTATTATATTTGACCTTTGACCTTAATTAAATATTTTCACTTTATTATTTTATAAAGATGATCTTCAGTTACTACCTAGTCAAATCTTTAATTATCTCTTAGCCTAACCTGATCTAACCTGACCTAACCTGATCTAACCTGACCTAACCAGACCTAACCGATTTATTCTTTGAATTTGACCGCTTGACTTCGTGACCTCATGTTCCCCCACCCTTAATTCGTGTCCTCTTTGACCTCTTGTTCTCGTGTTCATCCTTGACCTCTTGACCTCCTCTTGACTTCCTTGACCTGCTTTCTCCCCCCCCTTGACCTCTTGACCTTATGTCCCTTCACCCTTGACCTCTTGACTTCGTCTCCTCTTGACGTCATGTCCCCTCACCCTTAACTCTTGACCGCTTGACCCTATGCTCCCTCACTTAACCCTTTGACCTGTCCCTACCCTTACCTCCTTGACCTCGTGTCCTCGGAGGTCATCATCGTACAGGGTTGGTGATGGAGAACGGGGAGGCTGACCCAAACATGGCGTCCTCCATCGCTTCCTTCCTGCGTTCTAAGTCAGAGTCTGAGAACCTTTTTCCTGTGACTCCTGCAGGTGGAGAGAGGAAGTAGGTGTGTGTGTGTGTGTGTGTGTGTGTGTGTGTGTGTGTGTGTGTGTGTGTGTGTGTGTTTGGCAGGGTGTGTGTGTGTGTGTGTGTGTGTGTGTGTGTTTGGCAGAGTGTGTGTGTGTGTGTGTGTGTGTGTTTGGCAGAGTGTGTGTGTGTGTGTGTGTGTGTGTGTGTGGGAGTGCGTGTATATTGAGAAAGTGTATATGTGTGTGTGTGTGTGTGTGTGTGTGTGTGTGTGTGTGGGGACTGTGGAAAGGGTGTGTGTGTGGGAGAGTGTATGAAAGTATGAGAGAGGGTGTGTGGTGGTAGAATAGAAGTGTGTGTGGGGAGATATTACCAATGAATGATGTAACGAATGTATGGATGAAGAACAGTGTATGAGAGGGAAAGAAAGCGCTTGTATGTATGGATGTATTTGGTTTAATAAATTATGTTATTGTTGGATGTCTAAATTTTCGTTTGGTTGTGTTTGTTTGTGTGATTTTTGGCTAAAACATTTTGGTTTATTTATGTTGTAAGGTGTTGTGATCTTCTGACTGTGTATGTGTGTCTGTTTGTGATGTTCTGATTGTGTGCGTGTATGTGTGTCTGTTTGTCGTGTTCTGATTGTGTATATGTCTTGGCCTTCTGATTGTCTCCCGCGTCTGTGGCTTTCTGAATGTTTGTTCGTTTGTGTGTCTTCTAATTGTGTGTTTGTTTGTTTGTTTGTTATGGTCTGTGGCCTTCTGAATATGTCTGTATCTAGGTGTCCTCTCTCTCTCCTGTAACCTTCACACAACCAACGACCCTAATTTCAGTTTCATTGATTTATTATTTTCCTCTAAAGACAAACACAGACATTATGTATGGTCAGATATACTTAGACATTATACTTGCAGTTTTGTATTATATCATATTCTCCTTCAGTTCTGTAGTGTCGTGAATAATTTATGTTTATTCTTTCATTAATCCTCTAAGTTTCTTCATGTCATGTAAACTGTTTTTTTATCTTTAATGTCTTATATTATAATGTGTATAATTATTTCATTCAGAGTTCTCTATAATCCCATAAGATTTTATAATTCCTTCATATAATTAATTTCATTCATTATACAGCTATAGAAGTAAGAATTATATATTTTTTTTAAGTATACATTCTCAGTATTCATAAGTACTTCCTATACATTCAAGAACGTATGTATATAATCCCATTACATCATAACAAGAGTATTCATGTTTTCAGATTCATTAAGATATCCTGACTATTTTCATTCCTTCTATTCTTTCCTTCCTTCCTTCTGCCTAATATTCACTCACATCTCCTCCCTCCTCCTCCTCCTTCCTCCCCCTCCCTCCTCTTCCTCTTCCTCCTCCTCCTCATCTCCTCCTCCCTCCTCCCACCTCCCCTCCTCCTCCCTACCTTCCTTCCTCCCCCAAAGGCAGTAAACACCACATTCGTCTCCATTCTCAGTGCCTTATCCCCAGATCTCCTCTTGTTTTCTCCCAGCCACCAGGGACTCTGAGAAACTTTTGGACGGTGAAGTTAAGTCCCCGGCAGACCCTGTACTCTGAACGTGGCTAACCAGTTCGTCAAAGACATACTAACTAAGGCACAAGAGGAAGCAACCAAGAAAGACCTCGCGACTGACAAGGTAAATTATGACTTTATTCGTATTTTTCTCTCTGGATCTTGTGGCTATTTTGAACTATTTTTTTTGCCCTTATTTTTTAGTTTGCAACAAGTTTTATTTTTGTTACAGTTGCTATTTTGGGGACTGGTTATTCTAGTTGTATTTTGCTATTTATTATTGTTATTTTTCCTGATATACTATAGACGTACTTTAGTAATTTTTAATACTTTTTGACAGATATTTACAGTGAATTTGGTAGACTTTACTTTACCTTTATCCTCCATAATTAAGAATTTTGATGGAATTTGTTATTACTTTTTCACCAAATATACTCAAGATATATAACGCTACTTTTATATATAGTTATACTTAATATAATTGTGTATAATGTCTGATATATTTTAATTCTCTGCATGACGAAATTTTTTAGAATTTTTTTATTTTTTTCAAGACAGGTGAGTAAATATTAATCTTTTCCCACCTTGTAAGCAAAATTTACCTGAAGACTAAATTAACGGACAGTATAACCTCCATATAACGGACTTTCTCTATATAATCCGTTAGATGGGGTTTCATAATTATCTAACTGACCTTCGTTATAACGGACTTTCATCTCTATGTAGTTCGTTAGATGGAGGTTCATATCTACCTGATCTTCGATATAACGGACTCTTCTCTCTATAGTCCGTTAAATAGAGGTTTCACTGTAACTTATTTCGCCTTGCAATTACCGAAGAGTTTCTAAATACTTTGCGTTGTTTGTGCATGTTTTTAATTAACCCTCTGAGGAAGATGGTTTAATTTCTTGAGGGTTAAGCTAAAAAAATGGCCCTGAAAAACTGTAGGTTAAACCATCGTCTTTAGGGTTCTATGTTAAACCATCTTCTTTAAGGGTTGTAAGTTAAACCCTCGTTCTTAAAGGTTATAACCTAAACCATTTTTCTATAAGGTAAAATATTATAATGTTTAGTTGCCGATTTTTTAATGTCATAAGTTGTTGGTAAAAAATTGTGTTCGCCACATCGTCGTCGTCAAGGTTCAATAATCGTCGTGAAGAGTTAAAACATCATCATCATCATCATCATCATCATCATCATCATCAAGTGTAACAAACATGTGGGTCGTTTGGCGTGTTGAGGAAGACCAGCTCACACGGATGGAAGTTTGTACACAAGATACTGGTGGATCGTCCTTACAGATGCTTCTATACAATAAGCTGGATTAGGTTAGTGGCCCCAGGAAGGAAGTGTCAATCGTCGTTTTCTTTGTTCGTTTTAGATTGTTTCTCAATGACCCAACGTCTCATTAAACCTTTCCTATGGTCTTTTATCGCCTAAATACTGTACTTGTGATCCTTTTCATTCTTTCAATAAAATCGATTATTATTGT